GCCTCCTCACTGCACCGGGCTGTGCTGCTCTCCAGGAGGGGAGATGCAATGGGGGGCTGTTGGCACTTTTCTGCAGTGTTTGACTTTGGAGGACTGTTCTGTATCTGTTCAGTGGCCCCATTGGAGTGTGGGGTGTGGTCCAAGCCAGTGGGAGGAGGTGGACTTGCTGTCCCAGCAAGTATGTGCTGAAGTGTCAGCCCTTCCCAGGCGCCCTCCACAGGGCTCCCGCGCACCTGCACCAGTGCCAGTCGGCCTTGGCGCTGTCAGGGCTGCTTCCCACCACGTGCTCTCGGGAGGACTGGCCCTCTGCCTCTGCTTGTCCTTACTGCCCAGGTCCCAGTGGCTGGGGCCAGAGCTCGTCTCGCTATGTGCCAGACACCCCGGAGCCAGCCCGTGTGGGCTCCCCACCCGTGATTTGGAGGTACCCAACCCATGCGATGACAGGCTGGTAACAGATGAGCTCAATTGGATTATTCATTATGGTTGGGATGGAATTGAAATTGCAAAGGGTAATTTTCCTTCTCACATCTCAAGGTCAGACGAGAGTATTTACTGTGCGGCCTCTGTTTATCTGGGAATGCAAATTGAATTTGGTGATTCAGAGAGATGAGTGTTAGGAATCGAGCTCATCAGAGGTGGGTGTTGGGAGAAGTGGCCCGAGGCCTGGCTGCAGCCTCCTTGCTGCTCCCTGGGCCCTTCCTCTAACTGGTAACTTTTTCAGCCTTTGCTTTGCTGATTCTCTGCTTTTGTTCCCACAGTTTGGTGTTAATTTTTTGAGAGAAATGTGTGATGACACTTGGAGGCATTCAAGATTGGGGTCAGAGGGCATAAATAAAGACAGCTGCAAGCCCCGGGGGCCAGGCGCCCTCTGCTGCTCCCAGCAGCCCGAGCAGGGCTGGGAGAACTGGGCTGCCTGCCTCCCCTCTCCGGCCTCTGGTCTCCCTCATCCTCCCCCACACGTGCCAAAGCAACCTTGTGGCAAGATGACAGAGCCTGAGGTCCCACTGTTGCCCCAGGATGTGTGGACAGCCCAGTCCCTGGAGCTGGTGGTGGCTTCGCTGAACCCCATGTATGTGCTGTGGCTCACTGGCACCCCCGCCCTGATGGCTCCCGGCAGGTGTCCCGGGCCAGGAGGCAGCGCCTGGTCTGCAGCTGGTGCCAGGGTGCCAGGCCTGTGTAGGACCCGCTGCTCCTGCCCCTCCACTGCGGGCCTGCAGCTCCGCCCCGCCCTTTCTATGCCCTTCCCTCCCGTCCCTCGCAAGCAGCTTCTGGAATTGTCAGCTTCTTGAGGCTCCCTGACGAGCTGCGATGGGGCCAGGCCTGCTCGCCTCCTCCTCCTCCTGGTGGCTCTGCAGCCTGGGGTGGGGAGTAGGAGTGAGGCCAGAGCGGAGACAGTGCAGGGTCCGCCCTCAGTTCCGCAGCTGGGTCGCGTCTGTCCTTCCTCCTGACAGAGTGGTCCCGGCCCATGGAGGTTCCCACCATGACAGGCCATAGGCATTCCTGGTCGGGGCAGAGTGGCCTCTCATGAGTGACTTTGCCACTTGGGGCCTGAATTTAGTAACCTTTAAAATGGAGAAGCTTGAGGGTCATGTGTGTGAGTGGATTTCGGTCCATGTTCCTCAGAGCCCCGAGAGTGAAGATACTTTAGAGATTCTGCATACATGTGAATTAAATTTTACTGAGGCTCAGGGTGCACTTGCAATTGTATTGATGTCTTAACCCGTTGGAGACCCCCAGGGTTAACCTGTACTGTCCAGCTAGTCCTTCAGGGACATTCAGCAGAGCTGGCCTCCTTGTGTCGTCCCATGCCTGCGTGGAGGTCCTGACCAGTGTCACCAGTTGGAAGGCCTGCTCGGCTCAGAGCTGCTCTTGCTGGGAACTTGAGTCTGGCCGTGCTGTTGGGCCCGTTTATGCCTCCATGTTGATGTGCTGGGCAAGACCTAGTGTGCAGCAAGGCCAGGCTCCACAGGGGATGGCTGCCCTTCCCGGCTGGCCTGCCCTGGGGCGATGGTACCTCGGGGCGAGCGTGGTGGCCGTTGGTACCGCTACCCACCCTGGGCATCAGGACCGCTGGGGGGCAGGCAGAGTTGGGAGAAGATAGAGCGTGGGAAGGTGGGCTGCATGGCTGTGCGTGGACGAGCCAGCCTCGGGGTGTCCTGAAGAAGGTCACTGAGGTGTCTCCTCCGGCTGCGGCCTGTGCCGTGACCTTTCACTTCTCCTGGGAGCGGGTCTTCCCAGCTGGGGGTTTGCTGAGGAAGGTTACATTAAGGTGCGTGGCCAGCACAGACCCTGCTTCCTGCAGCAGGTGCCCGCTCAGAAAGACACTAGTCGATAAACATGCCGACTTCTTCTCCAAGAACTAAGAACTTCACTTTGAACTCTCAGAGGTTCACAGAAATGCCAGTGACCTCCGAGGTCACCTAAGTATGGAGCTGGAGGCTTAATTTTTTATGAGTTTTCTCTTTACTTCACAGAGAGAACGTCCGACAGAGGCATCGGGCACTGGGTGCGGGTGGTGGGCCCCGCCCTGCAAGAGCTCCCTGGAGGCTGGGTGGGCAGGCAGCCTCTGAGGTGGGGGCATCTGTGGGCAATGGTTTGAAAAACTCATTCGGGGCACTTTGGACTGGATTCCTGGAAACTTCTGGAAACTTTGCTCTTGGAGGCCAACCCCTGTGTGTGTGCCATCCTGTCCCTTCTCTGCAGGGTGATCAGGACCCCCCCACCCCCACCCCATGGCTGCACACTGGACTGTGCTTCCCATAGAATTTACATACAAAAGTAAAACCCCTCCTGACTTCTAATCCTTTCCATCTGCCACCCAGTTGCCTACTCTGCTCTTCCCCCAGGGACATCTGTAGAAAAAGCACCTCATCACTAGGAAAGGTAGATTTCCGTCCTCACCAGGCACAGTGGCTTTGCCCAGCCCCACAGCCCTGAAAGGCTCAGTCTGTTTCCTCCTGTGCCTCTGGACTGGGACTGGGACTTTGTCCCGCAGCGGACATGTTGGTTTCATGACCTCTGAGCACGGAGCTGGGGGCTCATGTCAGGTGCCTCCGTGCTTGGCTCCGAGGGGCTGAGGCCTGCCTGCTGTTCAGGAGTGCACCGAGTGCTGGCAGCCTGCAGATGGTGCAGCAGCCCTGTGCCCAGGCGTGGCCCCAGGCTCCAGGATTTGGTCTGTCCAACTTCCTACTGACATAGTACCCTGTGGCCATGCGTGTATGTGCACCTGCTCTTGGTGGGGAGGTCTCCAGTTTGACCCCTACATGGATATGAGGGCATCATGCTCCCCAAACTGTGGGTCCTTGTCAGTCTCCCCAAGGTGGTCCCCAACATTCTGGTGCTTAGGGTAGCCCCTCACTCCGAGCCCGGCCAGGCTTGGAGCTGTGCCTGTCATCTGAAAGACAGCACTGGCCAGCTCCTGGTCTTCGCGCCCACGAGCAAGGCCGAGCATCCTTCTCACTGGGTGCCGCCATGGAGCAGGGACTTAGTGCTCTGCACTGCCCACCAGAGCTCCGTGACTCCGGTCCATCTCAGCCCTTGGTTATCAGCTGGCCAGGAATGGCTTTAAATTGAACTAGAACTCCATAGCCTGTTTCAAATGAGTATTTGTACTTGTTTTTATGTCATTTTATGTGTCTGGTTATGAAGCACCAAGAGGTGGCAGGTGTGGTCAGCCAGCTGAGCAACCAGATCGCAGAGTAACACAGAACTTTCCCAGATGCTAACTCGAAATGAAAGCCCCCCAGTGAGGGAGGGCTCAGTTCTGGCCCGGGGCTGGTGCTGTGGGCCAGGTAGGGGTGGCCCAGGCAGCTGCTCTAGGTGCATACGTGATTCACATTCTCTTCTGGATTCTACCTAACTGTAAAGAATCACCATAAAAACCCTCCCACTCACTGAGCTGTGAAATAGAGCAGTCAGCACGGGGAGACCACCTCCAGGGGAAGCTTGACTTGCCATCCCTGTGAATTAAGGTCTTCTTGAAATTATGTCATCAAAGCAAAAAAAGAAGCAATTGGCTGCCAAGCCCGACACCAGACTGCAGGGGTCCGAGGGCCCTCGTCTCACACCTCACAGTGTCAGAACTGGGCCATTGCTCCCGTGGACCATCCCCTCCGGGGTGCTGACGTCCCCTCATGACTGCTCTTCCTAAGATCATTTCTGTTTTTTTTTTCCTGAGATTTTAAGATTTCCTTTGGCAAGAGGTTTCCTCTACTTAAATAAATAGCGTGAACACTGTGTTTTCTACTCACACTCACACACCCTGCCCTGGTCAGGTGCCCTGCTCAGGCGCCCTGCAGGGTCAGCCCACTCTCCCTGGACATCGTCCTTCCTGGTCATCAGTCCTGGTCACTGACTCTGAGGATGGCATAGGCGAGGCGGGAAAGTCTGCGACCAGACTCTGAAGGTGCTTCACCACCATTCCAAGAGGTCGGAGGTCAGCCTGTGGGTGGTCAGGAGTGAGACTTCAGACCAAGTGTCCATCCTTACCTGGGGTCTGACGGGATGCCCTGGTGTAGAACCCGGGCAGCGCACTGTGAGCTAGAGGGGAGGGTGCTGACGAGCAGAGGTGGCAGGAAGGTCGGGGCCCAGGGTCGGGCCTTGTGCCCGGCTCCTCTGGGCATCGGTGGTGAAGCTCTGGCTGGGGTTCGGTTGGGCTTCTGGGGCGAGGGCAGGAGGGCTGGGAGCTGCACACCTGGGGCTGACTCAGGGAAGTGCCTGCTCTGCTAATTGAGCTCATTCACGCCACAATTTTCCCCATTGTGTGCGGAGCTGCGCCCTCCCGCGCAGGCAGATCTGGGATCGCCCTGGGGGTCTGCTGGAGACTGGGAGAATCCTGAAAGGCTCTGAGTAGCTATTCAGAAGTGAGGAAATGACAGATAACCACTGGCCGCAGGTGCAGCTCTATTCTGGGACCTGAAGGAAGAGCGGGCCTGGGCCCGGGCTGGGTGCTGCCCTGCAGGCCCAGCCTCACCCTCTGCCCTTCTGCCTTATCTGTACAGCGCCCGGGAGCTGGACAAGGTCAGGCAGCAGCTCCAGGAGGAGGTCCGCCAGGTCAGCGCCCAGCTGCTGGAGGAGAGGAAGAAGCGTGAGACGCACGAGGCCCTGGCCCGGAGGCTTCAGAAGCGGGTCCTGCTGCTGACCAAGGTACGGGCTGCGGGAGGGACAGCGGCGACAGGTGGCGCCCAGCCCACCCTGCCTCAGCCGTTCCTGGTGTTTTGTCCCCAGCACCCATCTGCCAGGATCTCCAGCACTCTAGGTGCTCACGCCTCACGTGACTGGTCTTCGCTCGCTCAGTCTGCTGTGCTCGGGCCAGCGCGCAGGCAGAGTCCTGCAGCTCAGGCAGGCGGTGGTGTCCTGGTGGCCAGGAGGGCTCTGACTGGCAGCCGAGACCTCTCCAGCCTGGCGTCCCTGTGGACCCGTGTACGGTCGGTGTCTTTTTGGGGCAGTCCTCTCTCACTCCCTTCCTTCAGCGCTGGGCTTTGGAGTGAGGCTGTTGCCTGTGTCCCAGGTGTGCTGGGCAGGCACGTTCTAGCCCAGCCTCGGCTGGGGGCCGGTTCTCCCACTGTTCTGTGCCCAAAGAGCTTCTGATTTCTGGCTTGATAGGCAGAGTTCGTTGGAGCATGAATTCGGGTTTTGTGTGAGGGAACTTATTAAAAATGCTGCCTTGGACACTGACATTTCAGAAGATGGGGAAGGAAGAAACCAGATCTGTCCCCAGATGCTCCCAGGCAGGGTGGTGTCCTGCTCGCTGGGCAGGGACTTCTCCCGCAGCCCACAGGGTGACACTGAGGGGCTGCGGCCCCCTCGGAAACATGCTGTCTGGCAGGCTGTGCTGCTCATCATCGTTCTGAGGGAGACCTGGCGCCTTGCTGCCGGGCCTCCTGGCGGCGGAGCTTTCAGAAAACGAGTCCAGTTCCTGACTCGAGCGCCGTCAGGGGCCTCTCTGTCCTCTCTGTGCCACGCCGTCCTCGGAGAAGACCTCGGTGTGCCTCACGTCACTCGCCAATCCAGGGCCTCCCCCTCCCCATGGCCCAGTGCTGCGTCTGGAGCCTGGGCTCTTCGGGTGGCCCACAGGGCAGACACTCCCCAAGTGTCCTCCTGCTGCCTCCTGGCATGGAAGGGGCACAGTCCTTGGCCTGGTCAGCTGTGCCCAGCTATGTGGAGCCAAATTCTTAGGACCTTACTGCCTCCTCCTTCCCCCCACATTTGTTTTGTGTCTGCCATGTCTGCTGGGTGTGAGGTGCCCACGATGCAGGTGTCACAGCCCTGGCGCAGTTTACAGTCTAGCGGGTCAGGCAAGCAGACCGGCAGGAGAGACCAGCACGCGCGCTCACAGACACACACGTGCGTGCACACTTGCCAACTCTGACCTGTGACGGATGCACCGAGTGCTCGTTACTCGGGAGGAACTCTCCCAGGGGCTGATGGTCAAGCAGAGACCTGCGGGCTCACTGCTTGTGAAAGGCAGGCCAGGGAGACTTCGGCTTTGTTGGTGGAGAGCTGCCTAGGGGCTGGGGGAAGGTGCTGCCAGTGAGACAGACGTGTGGGAGCAGGGAAGAAGGAGCTGACTCAGCTCCGCTCCTTCGCCAGGGCCTGGCTCTCGGGCTGTTTAAGGTGTGAGCTACCCGCCTTCGACGGGTCTGTCAGCCGGCAGACGGGGAGCTCCGGTCGGGGGCAGGTGCAGTGAAGCTGCGTGTGGCTGGGGTGGTGGCACATCTGGACTTGACCGTCAGTGGGTGAGAGACGAGGGGTGTGCTGTGGTCCCTGATGTGGGAGGCACAGAGCATTCCTGGGGCGACAAGTGGGAGGACCTTTCTATATGACCTCAGAAAAACCGCTGGGCCTGCCTGGGTCTGCTTCTCCCGGTGTCCAGCGGCTGCAGTGTCCCACGCTGACGTGGCTCTGTGCAGGAGCCTGGTAGGCTCCTGTTTGGATAGTGCTCAGGGGCACGAGCCTCTGTGCTCTTGGTGTTCAGTGGAAACTCTTGATTAATGGAATTCTCTGTTTTCTTCATAAATGCCTGCCCCATACATTTGGATATGGGCTGTTTTATTACTGTGTCTTCACAGTGCTTTCCCTTCCTCTGGATCTGTAAAGGCTGACCTAGGAGCGAGGTCCTCACATTCACTGCGCATAAGTGGCAGGGGGGTCTGAGGTGGAGGCAGGAGACCTGGCTCCGCCCCACTTGCTGCTTTGAGGTTTCATCCCAGAGTCTGGCGGAGCATCTCCTGGGAACCATGCTCTGTGCCAGGCACTGTGGGGACAGCATGAGAGGAGTGGGCACAGGCTCTGGACTCAGGCTCTCCCTGCAGGGGGCAGAGCAGGCCAGAGAGTGTGCGGGATGGGAAGAAAGTGCGGTGTCACGAGCTGCGGGGTGGGAAGCTTGGGAAGCAGGTGCACATCTCCAGCCAGGTACTTGCTGGGCGTCCATTTTTTTGGAAAGAACCCGACCTGCAGGAAGCCATGAAGACGGAGAGAAGTCTGCGTCTTTCAGCTTCTCCCATGGCGACATCTCAGGTGATGACTGTGATGTCCCAGTCTGTGTGTGGCTCTTTGTCCATGGTCACATGTGTGAACCTTCTGCTGCTGCCCCTGCAGCCACACCGGCCCTGGTCCCTAATCCGTTCCATCTCTGGTGATTTTGCATTTCAAGAATACCGTGTAAATGAAATCATATAGTATGTGACATTTTAAAATTTTTATGTTTTTAAATTAATAGACTTTTTTTTTTTTTTTTTTTTTTGCGGAAATTAGTGTTCCATATACCGCTCCCTGTGCCCTAATTGTCCATCACTAACACCTGTGTCAGTGCGGTATTTGTTATAGCTGATGAGGCTTCTGGCTATATTATTATTAGTGGTACATTGTTATAGCTGAGGGACCTTCTGGCCAAATTGTTATTAATGGTATGTTGTTACAGTTGACAAACCTTCTGGCTACATTGTTATTAATGGTACATTGTTGCAGTTGATGGACCTTATGGCTACATTGTATCAGGTTCACACTCTGTTGCCCGGTCTGTGGATTTTGATGCAGGCATAGTGTCGTGTGTCACGTGTCTACCATGATGGTTTCACTGCCCTGACACCCTCTGTGCTGCAGCTTTTCACCCCTCCCCAAATTCTTGGCACCCACTAATCTTATTTATTTATTTGTAGATGTTCCAATGGCTTTATTAACTTGCTCTTTCTGGGGTGGCAGGACCTTGTAGCTGGAGAGCTGGAAGCGAAACCAGGAAGCTGTGGGTCTCAGTGTGGGGTCCAGAGGGTGCCCTGCATCTCTGGGGACCCTCTTCCCATCCACCATGCACAGGGGCATGATGCAGCTCCCCATTTCTATTCATGGAATCTAGCTGTGTCATCTCTTCGGGGCTGAAGGTAAAGTGAAGTACCTGAGTGCTGTAACAGGTGCGGGAGGAGGTCACTTTCTGCCGGGCCGCTGCCTGAGTGAGAGCTGGGCTTGAGATTGCCACGCTTTCCAGCCGGTGCCAGAACCCATCTCCTCAAGCAGGACAGGCTCCTCAGGGTCACGCCAAGCATGGCCAGAGGGCCTGAGGGCTGCCAGCAGGCACTCAGCTTGTGGTGAGCCGGACACAGGTGGCACTCCGCCTGTAGGACATGGTCACACACAGACCACCCTGAGCAGATCACCAGTCCTGCCCCAGCCCCTTAGCCACCAGAGCCTCCAGAGCCTTCCTGGGACCCTTGTAGTAGTGGCATCGTGGAAGGTGGTCCCATCCCTGTTCCTGGGAAAGGGTCATCCGCTCAACGCATAAGGCAGTGTGTCAGGCACAGGTCCAGGTACTCCCGCTGGAGGTCAGCCGGCGTCATCTGGAGGGCGGGCTGCACACCCTCAGGGGTGGTGTTAGTGCTCCACATCTCCCCCAGATACCACCTTGCGGGCCCACGTTCTCCTCAGGGCCTGGTCTCCGTCTCAGCGCCACAGCAGCACAGGCATTGTGGCGGTTGCCTGCACCCGGCATACTTACCAGCTGCTGTCACCTGGCCAGGTTGCTCTTCCAGGTGCCCAGTCCAGTCAGGCACAGGACACAGGACGCCGCCACTGCCCTGCTCCTTCTCACTGGGGTTCCATGTGTCCTGCTCAGAGTTCTCTGGTTGCTGGCAGGGTGCAGGCAACTCCCACGAGCACTGAGCATGAACTAGGTGGTGTCAGCCCCCGATCTGTCACAGCCCCGCAGTTTTGCCTTCTCCAGAGTGTCCCGCAGCTAGAACCACACAGCACACAGCCTGGTCAGACCGGCTCCTGTCACTTTCTGACGTGCAGTCTTTTCATGGCTGACAGCTCGTTCTTTTTGCTGCTGCATCGTATTCTACCACCTGCTGGGCCAGTTTACCCATCACCTGCTGAAGGGCGTCTCAGGATTCTGTAAACACGCGCAGGGTTTTGTGGGGACATGTTTTCACCTTAAACATCTGCGCCGTTTGGCCAGTCGCTGTGCTCAGCTCACCCTGCAGTGGGTTGTGTCTTCCGCTTAGTGAAGCTTTTCACACAGCGTTTGCTCTCCTGGCTGTGTCACAGAGGAGGGCTCGAGACACGGGCAGGTGCGGAGTGGCACTTGAGGTGTGGAGCCCAGGCAGCGGGCCTGGCCTGCTCCCTGTGCCTCCTCTCATGTTGCTCGGCCACCAGGCCTCCCTCAGAGCGACACTAGTTTCTTTCTTCTGTGACACCTCTGAGCATAGTTAAGTGGCTCATAACACCTCTGCGGCTGGGTGTGGCATGCAGGGGACCCCGGCTGCTTTTCCCGGTGACTCTGAGTGTTAGGTGAGGTGTCAGGCAGCAAGGACTAGGGCCGTGCGGGAAGGGCTCCTGTGTGAGGGGACTCCTGGTAAGCAGTGCCCAGCTCTGGAGCTGCTGGGTCACGTGCAGACTGGCGCCCCCTCCCCATATGCTCTGGCCCCACCCTGGCGTGCACCTGCTTGACGGATCTGCCCCCAGGGCCTGAGCTCTGGTCGCTGCTGGCCTGACACAGGCTCTGCCTTGGACAAAAGCAGGTGATATCCACGTTTTTCTTGCAGAGAGGATCGCAAATGCCATGTTTCTCCTCCTCTCACCCCCGTCCTTAGTGTGAGTTTTCCAATCTTGTTAAAAGGGTTCCTCACTTCCGCCTTCTTGTTCAGCGCTGA